CCCCAAAACCCCAAAACCCCAAAACCCCTTAAAGCAGAAAAATTATTGAACATATAAAATGATCAAATAGGTGATTAGATCTTTCTTTCTTCAGGTTAATCATCAAGATCCTCACATCTAGACTCAGGATCTCCACCAGCAATAGGAATATCTTGCATTGAAGCTCCTTCGATAATATCGGGGGTGATTTCTGCTTTACAGATTGGGCAATTATTGTTTCTTTGAACCCATTCACCGATTCAATCTGAGTGAAAGATATGTCCCCTATTTCAAGGTAAACAAATGATGTTTTCGTTCTCAGCAAACTCTACAATGCAGATAGGGCATGAGTCTCCGACCTCGTACTCGCTTGGGCTTCTTTTAAACTTAGCTGCATTAAGGAGAAGATCTTTTATTTGAAGGTTGGCTTTTGCCTTCTGGGCGTCCCTTCTGAGGGACACTAAGATCGCAATTCAGAAAATTCAGAGTCCTCAAGAAATTCATAAACAGAGTCCGAAGTTGAGGAAGGCGTCTACTAGGAGCAGAAGGTGGTTAATCCACAGCAAAGTTGCCACCTTCCTTCAGTCGTTAATTGATGAGTAAAATTTTGAAAGTACTATCCAGTGCCAATCTATCGGGTTAACTTTAAGAACTTACATAAAGTTAAGAGCCACAGACCTGCGATCATCAGATTTGCAGTCCGGAGCTTGACCTTATTATTTTGTACAAGGTAATTTACCAGTCCAAAGTAGATTGAGATGCCAAGTTTGACGAAGACAGCTATTTTTAAGAATCCTCGAATGTCTGGACCTCAATTTTTACCGAAGAATCCTTCTGAGGAGCACATATATAATGACAACAAGATTAATATTATTGACAAGATATTATTGCGGATGGTGCCAGTATTTCTCTTAATCAACTTTTCAGTTCCTTCTTCTTGTGTCGCTCTTTGGTGCTGTGAGAAGCTCATTCTACTGGCCACTCTTTGAGGGACTGCCTCATTGTTGTGCATCGAATTTTTATGTAATAAAATTGCTATTTTTTTACCTTTTAAGGGGTTTTGGGGTTTTGGGGTTTTGGGG